GAGTGGAGACCCTCAAAAGAGGAAGCAACGTCTCTAAGATAGAAATGGATAAAAGTGTTAGATGATTTCCATTGGCGACTGGCAACTACTTGTTTCAACGGAACTGACGACCAAGCCACCAAAGATGAAGCCAAGGCTCTGATAACATGGGGAGATTAAAAGAATCTTGATCCTGATCACAATATGCATAAGATATGGTTTTCTTGAACCAGGAGGAGATAGTATTCTTAGATATCTCTGAATCAACATTAGTTTAGCACGAAATGAACAATCGGCAACGATTGTGTCTAAATATCAATGTAAGCTGCATCTACCAATGCAACGCTCAGATTGGGCACAAAAGTCTTGTCCTATCAGATCTATCATCTGATTATAACCTTCCGAAGAATTAATGGATATAAAATCTATAGCATGTTAATCGGATACTCTGGATGCTGTAGCAAAAAAAACTAGGAGGAATGCCATCTTAAATGATAGGAACTTGAGAGAAGTGTCCTGCATTGGTTGATATGGTGACTCTTGGAGGGATTGTATTACCAAGATAAAAACCCACTTAAGAAAAAATGTAGGAGAAAATATGTCCTTAATCTGGAATGAACAGATAATCTTGTGAAGAAAAAAAGTATCAGATCACACTGAGAGTCCCTGTATGGTGACAGGGGAGTCCAAGACTCCTTGCTCTATAGATGAAATAATAGATGAAATTTTATAACACGCCCTTCCCATGTACAATGCACATGATCCAAATGTTGACATATAAGCTTTTATTAGTCATGCTGCCAAGAGGCGCTAGAAAGTTGAATAGTCACATGACTTATCCCACCCGGTACCTATTTAACCTGCTGGGTAAATAGAGACAATTGAATAAAGCCACCTGCCTGTAAATAGTGAACTGGATATCGATCTGGTTTCCAACCAAACGGTATATCGCACATGCCATCCGTTATCAGGTTCCTACACCTGTCCTGACTACCTGAACTGCCCCACCTCGTGAGGCAGCAGATTAATTTAAATCGTAGCTAGTCTCGAAATAGCCGTGGTGATCTTAATTCAGTAATAATAATAATGATGATAATACTGAAAATTATTGCAAAATCCAACCACAAAGTGAATGCTCAAACACGTACTATAAAGAAATGTTTGAGTTAATAGTGCAGTGAAAGAATGTAATCAACCATGGATGCAGTTTTATAGTGATCGGCAGATCATTCCACAGAAATGGCGCACCACCAGTGAAAAAACGCCTCCCATAAGAAGCCATGGCTAAGAATTGCTTAGAGATCGCAGTTGTCTGGTTGAAGGGAATTAACAGTTCACCTAGCTATTCTGGTGCTATGCCGTTTTGACTCTTGTATGTGATACAGAGTACTTAAAACACCTGTACCAGGTTGATTTGAAGCTGTGGCCATAGGTAGATTACAATGCAACTAATAAATAACTAAAGTAGTAGGCGAAGAACTAGGCTCAGATGACGAAAAACTATAGCTTCCTTATACAAAGGCAAGTGTAACAGATTGTCGAGTGGAGGAAAGATCGACAACTCCCTGACTCACTTATGCCAGTCCCGTATACGGTAGATATCTACCAAAAGTTGAGAAATTCAAATTCCATTTATAAGTGATGAATGGGGAAGAGATGGCTTATGAGTCCCTTCTGCTTGTCGTAAAAGGTAACCAATGATACTCGTCTACCCGTGAATAAACTATAGAGTATCCATAGACTCTAGACTATGTCTCTATTTTAATTCCTTAATGAATCCAGTCTCTGAATCCATTCAAAGAAAGTGAGACGATGTAATATATTCCTTTGATTGGCCATAGCATCCGCTAGAGATAGATAAACCATGTCCAGGAAAATAATGCGCCAACGCCCCTCTTGAGCTGTGTCCTTTATAACCCAGGAGTAAACTTGGAAAACTGGAGGAGCAAAGCCCGTAGACCCGTGGCAAACCAGCTAGAATAGGATAACATACCAATGGATGTCCAAGCAGCCATATCTAATTGCTTGAAATCGCTATTGTACACGGAAGTGCTTGCTCCCGGAAGCCGTTAACTTCTTGTAAGAGGGCAAAATCCTTATCCAAGTTAGGTAGACTGGCCGGGATAAGTCTATCGTGAATGGCGTAGACCTGGGCAGGTTGTCCCACGTCGTGGCCTTGGAGAGGCCAAAGTTATAATACTCCAATGGTTTCTTAAGTAATGAAGAATGCGACAAAGACAGCTTGGGCATCCCTTCCGGCAGTAATCAGCAACCCAACTCCAAAGGTATGTCAATTCCCTGATCCTCAAACGGAGGTGGAAGGATATTGGGATAAAGACCGTTTAATAGTTCCAACTTCTCCTTAAAAATTCAACCCGGTGAGAAAATCCTCTTCCCGAAAACATCCATAGTTAGTACTGTCAACAAACACTCTCACATAGTGAACTCCGGTTGTGAGAAGGGATAAACCGATGAAGCGACCAGATCGGCCAAGTCAGACACCATCGGGTTCAAGGACTGATTATCCGTGTCAGTATACGCCTGCAGTTCTGTGGCCGTATTCTCTGATCAAACCGCTAGGCCTGTGGCTGTTGGGCTGCTGGGCTGACAAGCCCTTGTCAATAGCAGCATATCCGGTATCATGGCTCAATCTGGGACGGGAATCCCGTGCGTCCTGGTATCAAGCCCGTGAAAGTCCTGCTGCCTAGTCCCACCATGGAAAAAGATAGCAGGCCCGTGGCTCTCGGTTGCTGGGTTGACAAGCACATTGTTAATAGCCGCGGACCCGGTACAATGGCTCAAGTCGGAAGAGGAATCCCGTGCACTCGGCACGGTATCCAGCCTGTGACAGTCCTGCAGCCGTCTATCCGTGGGGAAGGATAGCAGGCTGTGAGCAAGAGGGAACTGCCACGGATGGTTGGTTCCCGAGAACCAAGATCGCGGAGTGTGTAGCCTGAGCCACGGTCATAGCAGCCCTGGTTTCTGTCAGGACATAACTTTGGCCCCCGGCTCGTGCCATCGACCACCAAGTCATTGCGGCTATCTGCCGTCTTTCCGGGTAAATATGTCCCCTCAATAGCTTCAATAGCAGGCTAAATTCACCTCATTTCTGACCTCAATGTCCCGTATGGACTTATCCATAGCGGTCTGAATATCGGACTTGAAACCAGCTAGCTGCTAGTAAATCCTAAATGGTAGACATAACCATGTGGGTGGATGATTAGATTTTTACCTAGATCTGGAGTTAGGCTCAGATTTAATAGACAATGAAGGCGATCCCTTGTTGGCTTTCTTTGTTCCCGAACATTCAGATGATGAAGATACTTACACTTCCTAGCCATAGAACGAAATTTCTCCATAATAAGCCAACTCTCATCTGACATAATAGACCTCTATCTGATAAAAGCACGGCAATCCTTGAAGAATGAGACACATAGAGAGTGGGGATCGACATCCGCCATAAACTTCTGGCATAGGAGACATATGTTATGCGCCATATTCGTTCTAGTCACCAAAGGGCAGGAAATTTTCAAATTCCAAAAACAAGAAAATATATACGTAAATACAATATCAATGCGATTGAGCGTATGTGACTGACCTATTTGTGAAGAAATGAAGATTGAAAAATAAATTTCACTGATTCTCTGCATGTCATACGTGTGGACCATACAGAAAAATTATGGAGGGTTCCAGGAGAACAATACAGTGATGTCAGGATCAAGGGAGATAACTCAGGGGTAGATTAGGTATACCACTAGGAATAGCTATGACTTAGTGTTAAAATTTCTTTTGATTTTCTGTATGTATTCTGTGTATCCACAGGAATAAGGCTACCATAATCCAGAGGGAATGTTTACGTTAAAATTCAAAATGTTGGCAATTTATTGTCAAATATGACTTCAATGAGCCAATAATGTGGGTCTCAGGGCCTATGAAGACTAGGCTAATGTGCAATTAGTGCTAGAAGACTAGAATAATGTGCAAATGTGCTATCGTGGTAGGAGCGAAAAACGGACCCTCATGAACAGGGTAAGCGAAAGTTGAACGCTTATAGAATGAGGTGAAATATACATGCTATTTCACACGTTTTCTCAGATGTTGCTGTACACAATTTAATGAATGAAAGTGGGACCAAATTTAATCCAATGAAATAAAATCTAACAAGATCATATTTTCATGCGTTTTCTGGTATCATGTTGCATCACAGCTAAAATCGTAAGTACTCGGGTGATGCATGTCTACATGATAAAGTTGTCTTTTATATGTTAGTACAGTGTTCCGCTGTTCGTGTAATTTTAAAAAACAAAACAAATCTTTTTAAGCACCTGAAAACACATAATACAGGGATATGTACAGTGAACAGTTTTTTTATTGTGATACACACTGAATTTCACTTGTTACAAGATCATTTGGTAACAGCAATGTACCATGTGCTTATCAGCTGATTTATGTTTCGATTACCACTGATTGGTCGTTTTATTAAGGTCAATGACATTGTTCAATTTTATTGGCTCAGTGAGTTATGACTCGAAAATATGGCGATGGCAAAATAGCGATTTCCAAAGATCATGATGATGGTTTGTGCAGGTATTTTTGTTACAATTACGAATTCTTTCAATAGTTAAGTGTTTGAACAGTTTGTATTTCATGAGTACTGTCCAAATTAACACTCTGTTGTTACTGACCGCATGTTGATGTCATTTAAAGCTTTTGAACGAGCTTTATGTTTTATCTTTGTAGTGTGTAATACGGTAATAAACCACCTTGAAAATGGCATAAGTATCTATACTGAAACGTCGCTATTGTATAATAAAGAAGTTGATCATCCATAAAGACTTGTCATCCCTGAAAAGTAGTTTATATCTGGAATCATACATAAATAATTGCCTTTACGCGTCAAATGTGTACATTCAGCTTTTTGGCCAGGTGCAACAATAATACTGTTTTAACAATAATCATGCCATTCCTAGTTAGCAGAAACATAGCATGGAACTCAGTTTACTGATACTGAAGTTACTCACTTGAGTTTGGGAATTTTGAGCCTCCTGGCAAACCAATGTAACAAAGTCAGAAAAAGTATCACTGCCATGATTCTCTTGGTATTTCATGGTATTAGGGTGTCCCACATGGCCCGTCTGACTGGAACTCATTATCATCGATTCTTGTAAACCTGCAATGTGAACATTGAACAATGACAAATATAATGTAGTGTCCTTGGACTATATATAACCTACCCATAAGTATGTTTCCAATTCCTCCATCCATGAGTAGTTTTCAACTTTAACCAAAGAAAACCTAAGCCATGAAATTCAGCTTTAACTGATCCCAAATCATCCTACAAAAAGACCTTCAGGTACTGTCTTGCAACTCCCAGAGTACTCATGTGTCTTGTCCCAGAGAGAAAATTAGGGTGGACAGTACAGTAGTTCATAGGACATATATGTCTTTAATCAAGCTGGAGAGGTCTTTACCATCAAACATATTTAGCCCCATCCTAAGTTTTATCTGAATGTCTCCTAAAATTTCTTACAAGAAACATATAATCAACCAATTTAACATCACTGCATCATGTGACAGTTTGCATCATCTGCTCAATGCAGGGCAACTTCTTAATCCCATGACTTACGATTTAATGGTATGCTTCATTGCCAGTCATGAACAGCCTCAGCATACATGCATACTTTATCCAATAATAAATACACAAAGATCAAACCAAGTGAGATTAACCTTCAAGTGGATTTACAAATATCATAAAGCCAATATTTTCAGGATGAAAGTATGTTCAAGCTATATCCTGAATGAATAGCCTTCAAAGTCACTATGATGTATGACACAACTGAATTCTGAATTCCACAACTGAATTCATTGTTTAGTGAGTGTGTATCATAAGTGATTGATGCTTAGATTTTCCATGCATTGATCAGAAACTTTGTGAAACTGTAACAATGTTGACAACAGGGCATCATCATCATCATCATCATCATCATCATGGAAGTTGTCATACACACAAGCTCCTTGAAAATCAAAGCCATAAAATCGCTAGTGTCATAAAAATCCCCAGCAGTATATAACAGGTATTTCAGGTATGAACATCTGTCATCGAGTAGTGGGGGAAAATCAAATGTGGTGCTCAAATTCAAGCAAACACATTTAGCAGTCCAAGGACTGCTTACAGGTAATTACATTGGTCATGTGTTCTGTGCAAAACTCAACCATTGTTTAGTTACATTTTGTCAGTGATGTTGAATCAACAATTGAATTAGATCCATCTGACTGGCTAGTACTTTCTACTGTATCAGGAGGTACATGGAAGTTATGGCCACCTGGTGCTGACAAGTTACGCGGGGCTCCTGATAATTTTTTCCAGAACCAAAAATAATTGAGAGCAGTTTTGCACTAAAAACCTATGCCATGGAATATTATGGGAGTGGGGGGGAGACATACATGATGGATGATAATTTTTTTTTATTTCAATACATTTTAAAGAAAAACAGAGCCACAGGCCTCCGTCACTCACTCATCCATGGGACAATAGAGGGGCAGGCATTAACAGCCGGAGAATGTGTACAAGGGTGTTCTTGTCACCAGTGTCACAAACTTGTATGAGTATGATGCAATGTCAGCATGGATGCTTACAAACAACAGGTCAAACTGATTAACAACCATGGATATTGACTTCCTTTTCCTGCAGTGGGCTTTTTTGACAACTAAGGTATGTGACCAAATGATTCAATTAAGCATTCTGGACAACTTTGTTTATAATTGGACAAATTGTAAAAACAGGGCTGGGATGTCTGTCTTCCACATGCACTAGGCTGTTGTGTTTGGGCGTTTGAATCAAACATGGTGCTGGTGTGTTTCACCACCCTGGTTTTTCGCTGTTTTGACAATGTTTCACTTCACTCAAAGTCAATGAATATTGAATCAGTGGCTTCACTGCATGTTCTAACATGTCGCTTAAAGTGCCCATTAAGCACACAAAAAGTTGCAGTTGTATAAATGACATCACTACATTTAAGTTTATATATGACTATCCAATTTTAGGGTGTTCCCATATTTTTTGTTTGTAGTTTATATATTTGTTGTTGGTTCCAGTAATTTCAGATTTGACCATTTGAAAAGTCACAATAACTCTGAGACATTTAGAATGTCTATCCTATGACCATACTTCAGAACGGAAAAGCATGTATGTGAAAGCGGTTTAGAGGTTTCTGAATCTCAATATAAGTGAGTGAGTGAGTTTAGTTTTACACCGCTCTCAGCAATATTCCAGTTATATGGCGGTGGTCTGTAAATAATCAAGTCTGGACCAGACAATCCAGTGATCAACAACATGAGCATCGATCTGCGCAATTGGGAACCGATGACATGTGTCAACCAAGTCAGCGAGCCTGACCACCTGATCCTGTTAGTCGCCTCTTACGACAAGCATAGTCGCCTTTTGTGGCAAGCATGTGTTGCTGAAGACCTATTCTACCCCGGATCTTCACAGGGCCTCTCAATATAAGACTGCTTCTAAAATCAAGCCAATTTTGCAAGCTTTCAAATCACTAGATGCCCACACACTCAGGGGTACTTGAGAGATTATTTATAACAGCTTATCACATTGCACATAGGTGGAAACCATTAAGTGACTTTGAATCCAATCTTGATATTTTGGAATGTGTTGATGTGGATGTTGGAACCAAATATAGAAACAATACTGGAATAGGTTTATTTTTTATTGATAGTACAAAAAGTGTGGGCAAGTATGAAAATAAACAACAGGGCAAGTCAACTGCAAAAAAAATAAGAAAATTGAACCCCTGGAAACAAACATCCTTTCATTTGCAATTACATGTCAGAGAAGAAGACCTTCGTTGAAAATCTTGAGATTTATAGTACAGTAGGCATACAGAATTTATGGCAATAATGTAACAAGAGTCATCAGGAGATGACATAACCCCCCAGCACCCACATATTTGAAAGAACAAATCATTTGACAGTTACTTAAAGTCCAGCTTGATTATTTTTTTTGACAAAGTCCAAATCGTTTCCATGGAAATCATGAAAAATATAAATCCCAAAAATCTGTAAATAGCAGAAGGCATCACTTCAAGATCTGCCTCATATAACTGCCATGTTCTGCTGAAAGGTATTGAACGGTTTTCGAGTTGTGCTCCGGAAACGAAACCCACCCACCCCTCCCTTTTGAGACTAATGCCACCCTGACACTTGCACGAATATTGCCTCCGCACTGTTGCACAATTCGTGGTGGCAATATGTGTAATTTAGATGGTACCCATGAATGCGTGAAGCCTAGCTTGCACACTGTTCGCGTCCTCTTTACGCATATGTTACGCACTTGGCACGCAATGCATGACCGAAAATGGTACACATTGCCACGCAATGGCAAGCTATCACATGACTTATTTACCTCTAGGCCAAGTATTGTTGACGCATTTGTTACCTCTAGTGTACGGCATGGTACGCACGATTTTTCCAGCACGGGCATGCATTGCCACAACCACTTCGGTCATGCGTGAAGCAGTCGTGGTATTATTTGGTTCCGCTTTGTCACGCTTGATGCCACACTATAAATATAGCAGGCATCATCCATAGCCTCATGCATTCCTCGACTTACGGTGGACCTACAAGATGTTGAACACCAGAGTACAAGCTCTTAATGTATAAAAGAAAAGGTGTCTTGTAGGTGCAGCACTATTACTTCTTGAAGACCATGAGAAAATGCAACAAGAGCAGTCCAAAGAACAAGAAAAAGTAAAGCATGGACAGAGTGGGTGAGGGAATGGTTCAATGTAAGACATCACTTCGGTCTTTATGATCAGTTACTGACAAGGAAGCTATTCCAAAAGAAAGATACAAGGGGCTACAGACATTACATTAGAATTTCCCCCTACTTGTTTCAAGAGATGGTGGAGAAGTTAACTCCTTATCTTGAGAAGACCTCATTCATGAGGAGGCGGGAGTCAAGCTTGTAACCACCCTTTGCTTCCAAGCCATTGGTAATTCCTATGTAAGTCTTCAGTACAGCTTCAGAGTTGAAGTTAGTTCAATCTGCAAGTTCTTACCAGAGGTCTGCTAAGCCATCATTGAAGTCTACAAGGACGAGGTACTCAGGTGCCCCAAAACTGAGAGGAGTGGAAGGAGGTTGCTGATGGTTTTAGATACAGATGGAACTGGGGGCTGTGAATGGCAAGCACTTTGCTATGAAGAAGCCACCTGAAGCTGGATCATTCTACTACAATTATACAGGCTTCAACTGCACTCATGTCCCATGTAGATGCTAGATACAAGTTCGTGTATGCTAATGTTGGGGCAGAGAGTGGTGCTTCATATGGAAGGACATAGAAGAACTGTACTTTGAACTTTGTGCAATCTGTCCCGACCATGTTCATGATCAAAGCGGGCCAATGCCGGACACTGCGTGTCAATGGGTGCAGGGCCAGAAATTGGCACACTTTGATACGCACCACCCGCAGTGTTTGTGAGTAGGTTGTGCAATGTTGACAACTAGTTCACGCAAGTGGCTCAAAGACTATGCGTACCAGACATTTTGAACATTTCAAAATTTTCATAGCGCACTTGTACGCAGTCCCATACAGTTTATGCACACTTCACAACAGTTTACGCCGAGTTTACTTGTTGGCACGCAAAATTGCGTACCAGTGCGGGGACAAAATTCGTGCAAGTGTCAGGGTGGCTTAAGTCTGAATCGTTTCCATGGAAAACGGGAAAATAAAAATGACAAAAACCTGCAAAAAGCAAAAGGCACCACTTTCGGATCTGCCTCACATATCTGCCAAGTTTTGCTGAAAGATATAAAAAAATTTCGAGTTGTGCTCCAGAAACGAAACCCACCTCTCCCTTTTGAGACTAAGTCCGAATCGTTTCCATGGAAACCATGAGAAAACAAATGACAGAAATCTGCAAATAGCAAAAGGCACCACCTTGGGATCTGTTTCACATATTTGCCAAGTTCTGTTGAAAGATATTGAACGGTTTTTGAGCTATGCTCCGGAAACGAAGCCCACCCCTCTCTTTAAAACTAAGTCCAAAACGTTTCCATGGAAACCGAGAAAAAGAAAAATGACAAAAATCTGTAAATAGCAAAAGGCACCACCTTAGGTTCTGTTTGATATATCAACCAATTTTTGTTGAAACATATCGAACGGTTTTTGAGTTATGCTCCGGAAATAAAAAAATTACGGACGGACGGATGAATGATCAACTATATCCCCCTGCATTACATGCCGGATGGTTAAAAACTTACTTTTTTGCTTTCAGACGGTGGGTTTAACATAATTAGAACAAAAAATGATAAAATGTTGGCAATGTTGCCTCAGTTGACAATCTGCTACATGCGCATGCAGTTGTGCTTCCACTGACATTGTATGATGATTCAACATGTATGAGTTAATCAAAAATATCTTTCACAGCATTCTTAAAATATATGTGTGTACCTGAATCCACATGATCACTTTGCCAGGAAGCTTGCTGGCCAATACTTGATGCTGGTTTGGCATAGTATTGGTTTATAGTTTCTGCCTCTTCACCAACACTTTCAACATCATCTTCTGCAGATGAAATGGAGCTCATAGTTGTGCGTTTCAATCGTTTATGTGGATTTCCCGCAGCAGGACTGAGGGTTGGCTGGCCATTCGGCATGCCAGCATGCATATTGACCAGTGCAGATTCTGATTGTGGGCTGTAGTTGTAGTAACTGGGGCTATCCATTTTGTTCTGCACCATCATGCCATGATTTCCATTTTGATGTGACATTATTGAAGCTGAAAACAGACACTGCTTACATGAAACAAGTATCAAAAAAAGTAGAACATTCCAAATACTTACAAATATGGAAGTGACCCTTCACTTAAATTTCAAGAAAATCCAGAAACCATCATTTGAACCTTTGGTTTCAGAGAATGCAGGTCTACTTGATATCAACTAGTTTTAAGTACCATGCATCTTGCTGGCATAATGAGGAACCTAAATGCATATCCAAGCTAATGACATTTTTTGTGGACTGAAAACAGATACTGCATATTATTGGGTATTGGAAGAGCCTTGAAATGACTACTTAGTTGATATTCCTTGCAGAAATGATGATCCCACGATATATACAACATACCAAAGTACAGCTACAAATATCTGTAGCACAGACCAATAAATTTTCCTTCTTTCTGAACAGGTAAATCACTTCTGTTACACATACCAACTGCAGACTCGAAACTGATGTTTAATGGCATGAAGAGTATGGAGAGTTATGTCACATGAATCTTAAACAATGTTGATGAAGGGCAGTGCTTCAAAACCTTCACTGAATGACAGATGTTTAAGACAAATATGGTCGTGATACAAGTGACACGATCATTCAAACAAGATTTTGATGTTCTTATTTACTTTCCATCCTTACCAAATGTAGCTAAGAATTGGTAAGATGTTTTAAACACAGAATACAGATTAAATTTCAATGAAACATTTACCCTAATCTGATAATTCAGATGTAAAAATCAATGCTCCATGGAAGCATTTCAGTTTGTGGTTCTCGATTGTGTAACCATTTTGACAGTTTGACATTTTTATGCTGCAGTGAAAATTGTTTCCATACTGCTGTTTCTGTTTCTGGAGCGAAGTCTCAAAGCCTTCATAAACAACTGATACCTGTTCTATTGTTCAAAGGGGAAAATGAAGCTGAACCCCAAAACTGCTTGAGATAACTTGCTTCCATACTCTTTGAAACATTTAATGAAAATTCATTCAAACATTACATATATATCAATTTGCTTCAACTGACCACCTAGCTGCTTGTTATACACTGCAAAACTACAACTCTTTCATGTCAAATTGCCTAGTTATCTGCCTTGGGACATACACAGATAAAAGTGGTATCTATTGGCCTAAGATCTACTTCTCATAAAAAAGCACCAGTTCTCAAAAGAAAACAAAGGGCTCTGTAGCTCACAAATCTACAAAAAAAAATAGTATTTAGCAAATTACAAGACAAGAGTGAAAAAACTGCTAAGGAATGGTCTATGCACACTGGAAAATTGTGCTGGGACACAAACAGGACACTCACATACAAGAGGACAAAGTCATCAATATCTCCCACAATGGTAAAATACTCGTCATGAATACGTCAACTAGTTATGACTATGTCAAATGTACAGTTTGATGTACCTTAGTAAGTAATGTTGATACTGGAAATAGAGTGGTAATGTTGATTTATGTCATTAGGTTCTTGCATACCCACAAAGTGGAAAGAGATATTGAAGTATTTTCTCTGGAAAAGAGCACCAACCCAATTTTAGTCAAAGTTAAACTTGTTGCCATGGAAATGTAAAACAATATTTTTTTTCAGAAACCCAAAACTACCAAAAGTCACCAGTTCACTACTAGACCTATGTATGTGCCAAATTTGGTGAAGAAACATTAAACAGTTTTAAAGTCCTGCTCCGGAAGAGACATCAATTTCAGTCGAAGTCAATCTTGTTGCTATGGAAACAGAAAACATTTTCTATTCAGAAATGCAAAACTACCGAAAGGCACCAGGTCACCACCAGACCTATCTATGTGCCAAGTTTGGTGAAGAAACATTGAATGGTTTTATATTTCTACTCCGGAAAAAAGCACCACCACCAATTTCAGTCAAAGTCAAACGCAAAAATATTTTATTCACAAATCCAAATCTTAGTAACCAAAAGGCACCAGCTCACCACAAGATCTGTCTATGTTCCAAGTTAGATGAATTAAATATTGAACATATTTTATGTTCTGGTCTGGGAAAGATGAATTTGCATGGACGGATTGACGGGGTCCATTTTAATATCCCCCTCAAAACACGTTGAGGGGGATAATTACAATAAAAGGTTTCATCTAGTTTATTTCACCAACATGATTTTTGAAATTCAATTCTCTTAGTAAATATTTGATATTTAGATTTCAAAACATACCAAATAATGTTGTGAATGGTGAATCACTAATGTGTCAAGCAAGATTTACAGAGTATGTAGTTTTCAGTAATATTGCCCTCCGAACTGTTGAATTGATGATATCAAAATGAGGAAGGAATTTTCCACAGAATTCAAAACTGTGATGTGCATTTAGGTTTGTGATATATTTGGGTATTTCTTTTTACAGCAAAGAGATCTGCCTGGTATGTCTGCCAAGTCTTGTAGAAAGATATTGAAAAGTTTTCAAGTTGTACTCCGGAAACGAAACCCACCCCTCCCTTTTGAATTTAAGTTTGAATCGTTTTCATGGAAACCTGGAAAAACAAAAATGCCAAAAATCTGCAAATAGCAAAACTATTAAGTTTCATTACTTGTGGTAAGAAAATGTCTGACTGTACCATGTGCTTGTACCGTTTGCCATAGTAAGAAAATAGCAATACAAGGGGAAATGTAAGGCAAATCATTACTGTCGCGATCGCATGGAATGAGTTGCAGCCGTATGCCACATTATTTTTGACAGAAATGAAAATGAAACATCGGCCACCTGGAAATATATATAACATACCAAATGTAAGTTGGCGTTCATAATCCCGATAGCAACAACAGTAACTGAAATAATTGAGGGCTTCACGGTATATATGTTACTGTCAGATTGTGAAATCAGTCATTTCATGAAATGACTAAAAATTTGAGTCATTTCGTGAAATGAATACGATGTCGCCAGTCTTTATTCTTGTTATTACTCATCCACACTCCCAACATGTCTTTTATGTCACCATTTGCCCTTTCAACTGATCCTTGCCTTTGGGGATGGCGTGGCTTACCATGTACTCGTGCTAGTTTTGGGCAGACGTGTTGAATTTCTTTAACAACATGAGACGTAAACCATTATCAGATTGGAGGATCACTAGGGCACCTATCGTCAAGAAAATGTCAACTACCGGTAAATGTAATGCTACTTCAGCAGCCCTTTCAGTTGTCAGTGGTCTCAATAGGCAAAACTTAGTTAAGAGATCCTGATATACCATTATCCAGCGAAATGGCGGACCCTCTTAGACATTTCATAAAATTACTAATTTCACAATCTGACTGTAACATATATAGACCAATCCAACTTTTTGCAATCTTGGTCTCACAGAAAGTAACATATAAAACTCATATGAAGGTTAAACTGACTTGAATTCCAAGGGCTCCTTGGCTTTACTACATTCTAGCACTTTTACCTGTCATGTAGGGTTGAAAGTAGTAATGGCTACAATTAATAGGGATCATATATCACTGCCAGTAATGGGTAATGCGTCATTCGTTAACTTTGAATTCTTATGGTCCAGGGTTAGATACAAAGGATTGTGTAGTATGGTTTGGATAAAGGCACTAAGTCTTGTGGCTTTGGAAAGTGACTACAACCAAATGATGAGAATTGGTCACTTTGATTCATATTATACGGATTAAAAGGTAAGTCTTTCTCAAACAGCAAAACAAATGTTTCCAGTAATCAACATATAGAAAAATTACCTAGGACCTTATTGATTCAGCATACTTACATTGCTACTGAGCTCATGATGAATAAAAAAACTTCAGTCCACCAGCAGAAACATCGACCCAGTCGAATTAGATATAAAACGTCAGTGCAAATCATATTCATTTACCACACTTACTTTGGTGGTTCATCTGGTGTTAAATCGACATAAAATATTCATACCCTTTCCAGCTGAATATTCATTACCACAGCACGACATTCCAAATTAATTGATTTCTTGAATTACTACCAACAAAATTAATAACTATTTCTGATTCAAGGAGAAGATATATTATCTTGCCTTCAAGCACTTCAAAATGTTACTTCAAGTCACTCTATCATCCTGGACATTCTATAACAATGATCTTTCTACTGGCCAATGTGACATCATCCTTTGCTGGTTGCCGGGTCACGTCGGCATAGCAGGTAACACAAAGGCCGATGCTGCAGCTAAAGCAGCTCTTGACAAGCCCTTATCTCCACTGCTGATCCCGTACAGTGACTTCAAAACCACTATCAAAAGTTATACTTGGGACCTTATGCAAACAAGAGTCATCAGAAGATGACATATCCCCCCGGCCCCCACATCTTTGAAAGAACAAATCATCTGACAGTAACTTAAAGTCCAGCTTGATTTTAGACTAAGTGCAAATCGTTTCCATGGAAATCATGAAAAAAATAAATGACAAAAATCTGCAAATAGCAAAAGGCACCACTTTGGGATCTGCCTCACATATTTGCCAAGTTTTGCTGAAAGATATTAAGAAGTTTTCACGTTGTGGTCGGAAACAAAACCTACCCCTCCCTTTTGAGACTAAGTCCAAATTGTTTCCATGGAAACTGAGAAAATAATAAATCACAAATATCTGCAAATAGCAAAAGGCACCACTTTGGCATCTGCCTCACATATCTGCCAAGTTTTGCTGAAAGATATTAAGAAGTTTTCCAGTTGTGCTCCGGAAACGAAACCCATCCCTTCCTTTTTGAGACTAAGTCCGAAACGTTTCCATGGAAACCGGGAAAAATAAAAATGCCAAAAATCTGTAAATAGCAAAAGGCACCACTTTAGGATCTGTTTGATATATCTACCAAGTTTTGATGAGAAATACTGAACGGTTCTTGAGTTATGCTCCGGAAACACATTCTCTTCCCACAGAGGTTACTCCTGTCATATTTTCCTACATAACCTCTGTTCTAATACGGCCATATTTCCCGGTCCTCGTAAAATCCCCTAGCGGCAAAAGATCGCAACACGAATTATCTCCCTTCTTTCTATCCAATCAGAACACGTGTTACATCGACTTAGATTCAATTTGACTAACACAAGCAAATGCGGGGCCACAAATATCCCCCATCTGCCGGGGAATTGTGTTGATGTTACACACAAGACGTTTAATGGCTAGCTTGTCCGTTGTCAACGAGGGCGATGGAGACGCCATTGATACGCCATTACATGACTGAGTTCTGTCTAGAAGAAACGTTTGCGCATCGCGCTCGGGAAGAGGTTCTAGTTTTCCCGAAGCATACGGAAATTACCGAGGCCTTGCGAATGGTCACTTTTGAAACAACGTCGCTGATTGCACAACTAAATCGGCTTGTCTCCAATCACGAGCCTTGAACGCTGACACCAAGAAAGGGTCGTATTAGAACAGAGGTTATGTAGGAAGATATGACAGGAGTAACCTCTGTGGGAAGAGAATGCCGGAAACAAAGCCCACCCTTCTTTAAGACTAAGTCCAAAACGTTTCCATGGAAACCGAGAAAAATTAAAATGACAATAATCTGTAAATAGCAAAAGGCACCACCTTAGGTTATGTTTGACATATCTACCAATTTTGGTTAAAAAATATCGAACGGTTTTTGAGTTATGCTCCGGAAACAAAATGATTACGGACGGACGGGCGGACAGACAGACGGACGAGGCGACGACTATATCCCACCGCATTACATGCCGGTGGGATAAAAAGGTGGGACACCCAAGTATGAAGAAATAAACTTCATGAATTGAAACCAACAATCGGTTATACCTACTTGGGTTGTCAGTCAAGACGTGATGAGGACGTTTTACGACGATGTCGTATTGGCCACAGTCGGTTTACTCATGACTATCTGCTGAAACCGACAAATCTGAAAGATCTATTTTCCCTCATGAGTGGGCATCTCATTGTTAACTGTAACTATGTCATGTGAATGACGAATTGCTTGGTTTTGAATTTGGTGCTATGACATTAGCTCAGGGATTTACAGGACGCGAATTCCTGCATCCTATACGCATAAAAATTGACAATGGACGCAACCAAATTTATTAGCGTGTCCACAGGGACTCAGAAAAAGTCCAAATACATTTTGTAAAAATTCCAATAAAGTGACAATATGTTATCACTGAGTTTGCTACTAGCTGGCCTATGGTATTATTTGCAAATTAATTACTGTAACAATGTGATGATCATGATACACAATATAATAACAGTATTAATAATAATATTTAAGTGTCTGGGACCCCCATTTTGTTGTCCAGGACCCCTGAAAATTAAGAGTATGAGTCCCAGGGACCTTCAAATACAGGACTCCATGTAAATCCCTCATTAGCTGTTTTTAAATAATAATGTAATGAATATATATATTTTTAAAATAAAGGTCATCTGGACTTTGTACTGAAAATGTTTGTGAATGCAGACTTGATCTAGTCACTATATGGCTGGAACACTGCTGATGTGACGTAAAGCCCAACTCAATGACAAGATTTAGCTACTTTAACAACAAAAGATTCCACTAAAACTTGCGAAACATTTTGGTTCCAAGTATCCGTCAACAATTAATTCAAATACCTAATAATAGCCTAATAAAATGAAAGTACTATTTAGTGTTTCCATACTTTAACTGTAACTGTTTTCTTGTTTGTTTGTTTGTTTGTTTTTCAGCAAAATCTGATTACATGGATATCAACCGAAGGTGGGTGTATACATACCGGTAGATGGAATATTTGTTATATGTAGTAGAGGCAATAGTTCGCAACAGAGACAATTTCAAATCTAATTTGGTAATTAAATGGTAACTGTTAATCCTATTAATCCAGGTCACCTCTCACCCATGTGTTGACTGATGCAATCTCTTGTGAAATTACAGTGTTGGTTTAGACAGAGTCAATTTGCACTAAAAACATGTTTTGGGACAGGATTTGAGCGTCGGAATTAGAAGATAAGCTACTCTGTTTTCAATTTTGTGGTCCTTTATCATTGATTTAAGACTGCTAAATGTTTAATTTAAAACCTCACGCTAACGCGTTAATGGTAACGTATTGCTTGTATTGGTAGCAAGTAGCATACATAAATATAAAAAAAATACAGTTTATACTGTGAGCAAGTACAATTATTTGATTTTTCTAAAGCTAATTATTGATCTCCACTACTGTATGACAATAGACTCGCCCCAATTCAAGCCGTGAACTCGCTAAGTTTAGTCGCCGCTAACTTTATTCACGGAAATAACTGTTGATAACCACCATACTATTCCCAATTTGGAAAATACCTGACATGCCAGGTTTTATGTGGGATACATGGACAGTGGAAGTGGAAGGACTGGGCATTACAGCCGGGACGGAAGCGGTCAGGTTAAGACGTGTGGGCCGACGTGTGTTGTCGACATCATGCCCGCTAGATCTGGACCCAGTTTGAATATACTGCCGCTTTTGCGCTGCTGACGGATTTTTCAGCTTCGTAGTTTCTTCACTGGAATAAGGGGCAAGAAATTCTTCTTCAAACCATTCGTTTTTACTTCAAAAATACCAAAGATGCTGCCGAGGTAGAAATTGCCGATGTCCGACATATTTGTTTACAAACAATAGGGTCAACGAGTTCGTTGTATTCAAACGCTGTGAATCGGTCACTTTAATTAGCTGTCTTAAACTGCCATTTAAGTACGGTTTTGATGAGCTCTCAGCCAATCAGAATCGAGTATCACACAATGTCGTGCTAGAATTCGGAATAGAGGGATGTCGGATTAGAGGGAGTTTCTTATATGATATTATGTAGGGACAAATTCAGGACCAAATGTATATGTCAGTTTACTGGGAGCGTCGGATTAGTGAGAGTCCACTGTAATTCTATTTGCCAACTGCCGCAAACTCAACCATCACTATCGACAGCTGTTGCCGGGAAAAGCGAGAGACTGTCATGACATGACATTCCATCTCTGCCGAGAACGCCCACCTTCTATCATATTGTCTGTCGATAGAGGTGACTGACAAGTCGTGATCAACATTTAGCTGTTCAAAGACACTGCTCTTACGCCATTTCAGCTTATATTTCAACAGTTGCTGCACTGAAATGTTGACATGAGGTGATCGGGTGCTGTATTTCTATAGCCCATATTAATATCTTTTACACTGTTTGCATCATGATGTCGCAACTGACTGTGTGAATCAGCAAGTGAGATATTTCTATAGTCAGTGCCAGTATTCAGTACACTGTTACTATCACGCTGTCGCAACTGAACTTCTGAACTCCAGTGCAAGAAAAGACCAAGTTGATAACAAAAGTGCTCTTTCAGCATTGGAAAGCCAGCGAGTGTGACTTGTTGGTAGATTTTACTAAGGCTTCCATCAGCTATCTCAGTTACATCTAACAATCATGAAGAAGATATCTACTAAACGGTGATACTTTTACCATGCACCATAGAACAGAAACTGATCCTGATCAGCAAACTTTTGAGATACATACTGCAAATGTTCCTTGTGCTCTATAGAGAACCGATGAAGAGAGCAACTTCAGTGAGGAAAATAGAATTTCTTTTGTCCCTCTGTTGTCTTTGAAGATACATTACTGCGATGGGTAGATATAATCGACCATAACAGCTTACATGCACAGGTAAATATTTGTCAATCTGAAGGTGTTTGAAGTGTATTTAAGGGCTAGAAACCGTCCAAAAGGAGCCCGAACACGTTTTTGACATGCGAGCGGCTCGCTGAAATACAGCCTCAGACCACAGTTATCCCCCCTTCAATTTTACCATGACTTGGAAGGAAAGCAGGAGAATATAGTGCCTTGTATAAATGGCCTGTTCTGGACAAGAAAGAGTTCCCTCTTTAACAGGCCGTAGCTCCATTGCCCTTGGGTCAACAGTCAAAAGTATTACTGTTCTGGAATCGCCATGATCTCAGCTATCTGATGCACACAAACGTCAAATCTCCTTCAATCCAATATAGTGGTGAAACGGTGCCTCTTAGCCCCATGGGTCCTGCAGTTGAAACTGAAGGTAATCTGATTCCAGAGCTGCACCAGAAATATTGTAGTCATTGTACATGTAGTTTCTGAGATTATTGCTTTGGAAATTGAATTTTTTTAATAAATTTTGAATTATCAGCCCTTTGCTTGAAATTTTTGCAGAAACAACTTAAATTGGTACACATCCACATGATTTTTTTCGACAGATTTGGTCCAACGGTGCTTTTTGTAAAAGGGTACAAAATACAGCGGAATAATAAAAACAGTATGAATTACAATAGGTCTCCTGCCTTGTGGCAAGGAGCCCTGACAAAAACATCATGTATTACAATATGTCTCCTGCTTTGTGGCAAGATGAGTGAGTGAGTTTAGTTTTAAGCCACACTCTGCAATATTCCAGCTTTATGGCGGCGGTCTGTAAATAATCGAGTCTGGATTAGATAATCCAGTGATCAACAGCATGAGCATCGATCTGCTCAATTTGGAACCAATGACATGTGTCACCCAAGCCAGCGAGCCTGAATAACCGATCCCGTTAGTCGCCTTTTACGACAAGCATGGGTTACTGAAGGCTCATTCTAACCCAGACCTTCATGGGTCTTGAGGCAAGGAGCCCTAATTACTACCGTATAGTACTGTCTATAAGCCGAATTTTGAGGATAAAAATAAAGCAGTCTGTAGAAGGGGGTCGGCTTATTTGTGAGTTACGCTTTTGTCAAACTTTTTTCCATGGGTAAGAAAACAACATCGTATCACTTTGCGTGAACAAACAACAGAAGACAACTTTGTCAGTAAAGATGTAAAATTTGCAATTAAACATAACTAGACAAGATCATTTATCTTTTAAGTTCTAAGTTGTGTTTGCTGGGCATTGTATTATTTGCAGGCATTAAGATTACTGTGTGTATTTGAGCCGGAAATAGCAATCAGCTGTGCACGATTCCCGGAGATCAGGTTCAAATATGCACAACAATATAATGGGATGAATTCTGACGCAGTCATCAGTAAAATATAATACAGAATACTATCATTTAACCCAGGGAAATATATCCTAGCATTGTGTAAGTTTAATTACAGTTTTTATTCTATAAATTAATTAAGATTAAGATGACCATGTGTTTTTGAGCCGGAAATAGCAATCAGCTGTGCACACGTTCAAACATGCACCATAACATAAGGGGATGAACTCCGACACAGTCATCAGTAAAATTATTTAACCCAAAGAAATATATCCTAGCATTGTGTAATTTTAATTACTGTTTTTGCTTTATAAATGAAAAATATATATAATCAACACTAAGGTTATACGGACCCTCATGAACGTGGTAAGCGGAATGGTAAGCGTAAGCAATGGTGTTTCTGCTTTGCCCAGACCTAATGTATCATATGCGCAGGTCAGATTTGGTGACAAACATGTTCGCTGTCTGTCCGCCAAAATACTGTTTACAAATTTTCTCCGGATTTTTTTAACGTACAGAGCTGAAATTTTGCAGACCATATTCTCTTGACTGTGCCAAATGATGCTGTAAACATCAAGCCATTTGGATTTCAACTTTTTTGCTATGGCAACCCTGAACAAGAGTCATCAGAAGATGACATATCCCCCCGGCCCCCACATCTTTGAAAGAACAAATCATCTGACAGTTACATAAAGTCCAGCTTAATTTTAGACTAAGTGCAAATCGTTTCCATGGAAATCATGAAAAAAATAAATGACAAAAATCTGCAAATAGCAAAAGGCACCACTTTGGGATCTGCCTCACATATCTGCCAAGTTTTGCTGAAAGATATTAAGAAGTTTTCGCGTTGTGCTCCGGAAACAAAACCCATCCCTTCCTTTTGAAACTAAGTTCGAATCATTTCCATGGAAACCGAGAAAATAATAAATCACAAATATCTGCAAATAGCAAAAGGCATCACTTCAATATCTGCCTCACATATCTGCCAAGTTTTGCTGAAAGATATAGAGAGGTTTTGAGTTGTGCTCCGAAACGAAGCCCACCCTCACTTCTGGGATTAAGTCCGAATCGCTTCCATGGAAACCGGGAAAATAAAATGCCAAAATCTGCAAATAGCAAAAGGCACAACTTTAGGATCTGTTTGATATATCTATCAAGTTTTGTTGAAAATTATTATCACGGTTTTGAGTTGTGCTCGAAACGAAAGCAATCCTTACTTTTTGAGACTAAGTCCAAAATGTTTCCATGGAAACCAAGAAAAATAAAAATGCCAAAAATCGGCAAATAGCAAAAGGCACCACTTAAGGTTCTGTTTCATACATCTACCAAGTTTTGTTGAAAAATATTGAACGGTTCTTGAGTTATGCTCGAAACGAAGCCCACCCCTCACTTTTGGGACTAAGTCCGAATCGTTTCCATGGAAACCGGAAAAATAAAATGCCAAAATCTGCAAATAGCAAAAGGCACAACTTTAGGATCTGTTTGATATATCTATCAAGTTTTGTTGAAAAATATTGAACGGTTCTTGAGTTATGCTCCGGAAACGAAGCCCACCCTTCTTTAAGACTAAGTCCAAAACGTTTCCATGGAAACCGAGAAAAATTAAAATGACAATTATCTGTAAATAGCAAAAGGCACCACCTTAGGTTATGTTTGACATATCTACCAATTTTGGTTAAAAAATATCGAACGGTCTTTGAGTTATGGTCCGGAAACAAAATGATTACGGACGGACGGACGGACAGACGGACGAGGCGACGACTATATCCCACCGCATTATATGCCGGTGGGATAAAAAGGAAAAACTTAAATCAAGATGGTGGCCAAATGGCTACAGGTATCAATTTTGACCTCAGCCAAAAATAATTTGCATCTCATGACTAAGTCACATACCAAATATGAAAGCTATTGGGTTAATAGTAGCAGAATTATATGTTGTTTTATGCCGTTCGGGGAAATAATGCATTTCTGCGGTTTTCAATTCAATATGGCCGACAAATGACGAAACTTTTCATATGCATGTAAGAACACGAAATGTGAGGCATCTCATGTTGATGCATTGTGCCAATGTTGGTTACTTTCTGTGCAGAACCTGAGTAGCTAGGCTATTTATAAAGTAGCATCATCATAATAAAGCCCAAAGAATTCACATTTTCACATGCACCAAAAAAAAAAATGTTCAACACACCAAGTTACTACATACTGCCAGATTCTAGCTGCGTATTTGAAATAGAAATGCTGCTGCAATTTGTTGAAAATACATTTTAATAGAAAATAAACAACAGAAGCAAACATCTAGATATCCGCAACTAATCAGGATTTCGCAACATAACTAGAGATTATTCTTTTTTTTCTTCTTTTTTTTAAAATATTTTTATTTCCCAAAGTACATTTGTTGTTGTAGTACAAAAGCATCATACACAACACATCCTCGTCATCAAATGTTGAGCAAAAACATCACCATCAATACAGTCAATCAATACATCAATACAAAAGCAATCATCATATGTTTAGGGTGAATTTGCTATAATGTATCTGTTATCCTTACCAAAGGCTAATATGTATACCAGTACTTGTATTCAGATGCACTTATCAAATTTTATTATACTTATATGACATCTAGGTTGGTATAATTAGCAAAAAGTGTATGGAAGGAAGACCAGAAGGCATAAAATTTTGATGGGTTTGCATTTGAAAATGCTGTATATTTGGTAGCTTTGTAATATTTGAGTATTTCCCTTTGAAGCACTCTAAAATCTGGCTTTATATTATTTCGGCTCGTTTTATATAGCATGTATTTCACTATTAGAAACACCAGGTTAAGTGGGTTGTTGTTTTTACCTTTGAAACCAAAGATAATATTTTCGTGCGACAAATCAATATTTCCTTCAGACAGTATATCCAGCCAATCGGATACCTCCCTCCATACTTTCACAGTATATCGACATTCACACAATAAATGAATAATTGTTTCAGGAGCAGATTCACAGAATGTGCACATTGAAGAGTCTGTGTAATTCATCAAATGTAACTTATGTTTAGTCGTTAAAATATTGTGCGTAATCTTGAAATGAAACCATCTTAACTGTACACTTTCTGTACATCTATTTGCCATTAAATATATGTTAGACCAGTCTTCTTTGTTATATTGTTTATTGAGGATGTGTTCCCACTTTTTTTGGCTTGTTGGTCCAGTTTCAACTAGAGGTATAAGTATGTTATAAAAGGATTTACTCCTTTGGTTTTGTCCGCAGATACAAGATATATTAAAAGGTAAAGTTGGGTATTTAACCTGATAGGTCCAAGCTGTATCGGGTATTTTTCTGAGTCTGCAATATGCTAAGACAGTACACTTTATACCTTCTAGATGGAGGAAGTTTATGTTTGCAATTCCATATTTTTTTTCTATATCAACTTTATGTAAGAAGTTTCCATTCTGATCTAGGATATCACATACTAACATTATTCCTTTTTTTGCCATATTTTCATAGTAGATTGACTTTCCCTCTATTTTAATGTTATTATTAAACCATAGAGACTGGTTGAAAATATCTGATATTTCTTGCACATTTGTGTAACTAACACCTTTTTAAGTAGTGGCACCATGCCATTAACACGTCACTCCAAAATTGATTTGAGACACTGGGAATAATATTATTGCACACATATTGTGCATCAGCATACCATAATTTATTTGCATTGTCTAGGATTTCATTTGCAATAGATGTTCATTTTGAACTGTTGAGCAGCAACCGTTTAATCCACATTATTTTTTGCGCAATTATAGTAGTTCTTACAATGGGTACACTTATTCCTCCATCCTTTGGTTTAAGATACATAATTTCTCGCTTTACCTTATCTGTTTTTCCTTGCCAAACAAAGTTAAAACACTTTTTTTGGAATTTTTGTAATGTGTCTTCAGATGGACTCGGGATGGATGAAAATAGATGGTTTAACTTTGGTAAAAGCAAGGATTTTAAAATAACATTTTTGCCCATTGGTGTCAAATATCTTAGAGACCAAATATTCATTTCTTGGTAGATTTTTTCAAATTTATCATTATAATTTAGGTCTACAATGTTATTTAATTCAACATCAAAAACTATTCCTAAAAGTTTAAAATTTGATTGTGTCCAATCCAGATTCCATTCCTTGCACATCTTATACCTAGATCTTTTTTTTGACCCTATCCATATTAGCCTGGTTTTTTCTGCGTTAACTTTTAACCCTGAAAATCTTGCAAAAGGAATCTAATGTGTTCAAAACTGCATACAAACTTGATTCAGATCCGTCTAAGGTCACTGTAGTGTCGTCTGCAAATTGGGCTAAAAGGCTTTGTATATTACCTATCTTTATCCCTTTAATTTTCTTATTTTTTCTTATTAAAATAGCTAGTATTTCGGCACATAGGATAAAAATATAAGGTGATATTGGGTCTCCTTGTCGGCATCCCCTAGTTATCTTGAAAAACTCACTCGCAAACCCATTTACTAATACACTTGATTCACTGTCATTTAGCAATACTTGTATCCAATTTTGAATACATGGTCCAAAGTTGAAAAAATCCATTACATTTTGCATAAATTTTCTGTCAACCGAGTCAAAAGCTTTTTCAAAATCAATAAGCAGTAATAATCCTGGAATTTGATATGATTCACTATAGTCCATTACGTCGTATATCTGCCTTGTGACTTCTCCTATGTATCTTCCTTGAGTAAAACCTTTTTAATCCTCGCTGATAATAAGTGGTAATATTGTCTTTATTCTATTTGCTATAACTGCAGAAGCTAGTTTGTAGGAGGTATTTAGTAGTGATATTGGTCTCTAGTTTTTTAGCATTTTTTTACTTTTACCACTCTTAGGGATACAAGTAATAAGACCTTGTTTTTGTGATACGGACATGGAACCATTTTCATATGCATATTTCAAGGAGTTAATTAGAAATTTATTTAAGTCATTCCCAAAAAAATTGAGGAATTCACTGGAGAAGCCATCCGGGCCCGGACTTTTATCATTTTTCATTTTCTTTAAAGCGACAAGCGTTTCTTTGTATGTTATTTCTCCCTCTAAAGATGAGGCAGCTTCTTCTGACAGTTTAGGTATTTCATCTTCTATGAACAATTCTTCTAATTTAATTTGTGTGCAGTCTTCACTTAAGTAAAGTTTTTTGTAGAATGTTCTAGTCTCTTCTAGTATTTCCTTATAATCTTTTATCACTGTACCATCCTTTTTTTCCAATTCCATTATTGATTTATTTAAAAAATTTCTGCTTTCTAATTGTAAAAAGTACTTTGATGGTTTTTCCCCTTGTTCGATCCACTTTGCCTTAGATCTTATGTATAGACCTTTTATCTTTTGTTTGCTAATTTCTTCTAAGTCTTGTTTAACTTCATTTACTTTTTTTAATATTTCTGTCTTTTTTCCAGCTGGTTCTGTATCCAGGTCGATTTCCAATTCTCTCAATTTATTTTCCAAAGCCTTTTCCCTGTTTAAAGTCATTTTCTTTTTTGTAGATGAATAATATATAGTCATACCTCTAATTTCTAGAAGTAGCATTTCCCATAACAGTTGATCATTTATGGTATATCTTGTTTCTTCAGCTTTTGCTTCCGTTTTAACTTCATATTGTTGTAAGGTATTCTTTATTGTAGTTTTTACTTTTTCAACATATTTTTCATCGTGGAGTAGAGAGTTATTAAACTTCCAAAATCCTTTCCCTCTTATCGTATCTCCCAAAGATATTGCTAGTGAGATTATTGAGTGGTCCGAATTAATGCTTGGGGATATATCTGTTTGTGTAACTGCCTGTAAGAGATTATGTGATACAAGGAAAAAATCTAGCCTTGATTGTTAAAGCAGGGTTGGTTGTCTCCAAGTGAAACGTTTTTTTATACGGGTTTGATTCTCTCCAGGGGGTCTTTCAAGTCTAATAGAGTTATAACGTTTAATAGTTCTTGTCTGGCTTTTGGGTTATTCGTGTGTTTGTAGTTATAGGTGTCTAAATCACTGTCTAATACCATGTTCCAGTCTCCACATATTATAAATTTATCGTTTTCTTGTTGTTTCAACATATTTTTGATATTTATAATGAACTCGGGGCAATCTTTATTAGGTCCACATACATTAATAATTGTGTATTCACTATCATGTATTTTTACTCTCAGTAGAATATAATTTCCATTATCCATATCAATTTGTTGACCTGTAACCTTAAATTCAAAATTGTTATTAAAAAGAATAGCTGTTCCCCTTGCATTGCTTCGGAAATGGCTGAAATAACATTCACTATAGCCCCATTGCTGTTTAATGAGCTGTTCTTGCTCAGTAGTGAAGTGAACGTCTTGAAGACAGAATATGTTAGCCTTTTTTAGCCTTAAGAACCTGAATACCTGTTTTCTTTTAAAAGCATTATTGAGACCTCTGCAGTTAAGAGATAGAATTTTTAGATTTTCCTTATTTACATTTTGTTTCATTAATTATCTTAAATGATTTGCAGTAAAAGGAGATGGTTTGAATGAACGTGCAAGTTCTTGGGATGAGTAATAAAGCATCTACAGCAGCAAACATACATTTGGGAATTTTTTTGGTACAACAAAAGTGAACAAAAGATATAACAGCAAACAATATATATATGTGTACATTTCCGACTTCCGTCCTGTAATGCTGATAAAGCATAATATACATTTTACCGCCTTTTCCGTCCGTTTTAATTATAGTATGTTTTCATTTTTTATGAATCCACTTTAGTTTGGGCTCTGGTTCTGTGATATTACTGATATTAACAGTGGCATAGCTTTATGGATCATTTTTTCTTCAGTTCCACAATATCGTGCATATCGCATTTCTACAAAGGGCCCAGGCCATGTCTCGGTATCAAATATAATCCATGGTACATAATATTACTAACAATTACATATGTAATTTTGTTTACTTCAATTATAATGCCCACATTTATATTTCCCAGTATAAGTTGTTGAAAGTGAAAGGCATAGTAATAATAATATAATATTTCTATACCAATTGTGGTACCATGGCAGTTAGATACGTATTTAGTGGAATCAAATATTTAATACTTAGTATGGCAGCTACTTTGAATGACATAAAGTGGCAATTTAAAATGTTTACCCTGAGGGTACAATTCTTTTCAATGATTTTTCACTGTATCAATGAGAACAAATAATCTACCAGTTAGGTTTAAATGAATGAATCGTATTCCCATGGTGAAGAAAGATTCATTTTGACAACCGCAATAACAATTGCTTTACATCATCAAAATTGGCATTTTCTCACATGCCAGCAGTTGTCCATACTTTTGGACCATAATCGAACATAAATATTGCAAATTAATAAGCATATTTTTGTAAAAATGAAGCGAATGTTCCATGGTAGTTTCTTGAATCCATAAATAACCAAATATACATAAATGTCAAAGGTTCTCTTTTAACATAGTACACACTTGTGTGTAAAGACCAATTTAACTAATCCTTACCGAGAATACTAAAACATGCCAAAATTTACTTAACGTAAAACATAAAATACTAGACTATCCTCATTTTGGCAAGGACAGGGGTTGTATTTCTTCACCCACATGTTTTTAGCTCAATGTAATCCAACATACAATTGTTCTTACTTTTGGACTGTAATCAAGCTTAAGTGTTATTGAATAGTAAAACATATTTCTTATTGCAGTATAGTCAATAATCTTTTACAACTTATACTATTATACATGTTATAGGGATTGAGCAGTAGCATGTCTCTTTTACATTAGTACAAGAGAAGTATATATAGTATATGGTATGACAGTCCTGTTCTATTACCAAAACGAGGTAATAAGTTATTATTTTCCTCCGGGTATTTATGATTTCCATACAAATTTAATAAACCATTATAACATAAATTTCCATAGTAGTTTCATGAACCACTGACTAACCAAATGTACAAAATTATCATGATTTCCTTTAAAATAGTCAACGAAAATATAGGTATGACACTATCTTATAACCTGGTACACCTTTGAATAATGTATGAATTGTCCTCATTTTGACGAGAATATAAGGTATATCACATAGTCAAGATATGATTTTGACTCAGCATAGACCAGCATACTATTCCTATCCATACAAAGGTAATGCATTTTACTTTACTGTATTTGCTTTAGAAACAATATTACTTTCTATACTGCATTGCACATTTAGGGAGGCTAGTACACACAAACACCCATAGACAAATGTGCCTACGTATATATACGTACACATACACACATAGATATAATAGGTAAATAGGTATCCAGAGTACATTTTCATAACGGTTTCATGAACCAATGACTAACCAAGTGTACAAACTTGTCAATGATTTCCTTTTAAAATACTCCACGTTTATAGGAAAGTATAAGTATAACAAGTCTTTATCAGGAAATGTCTTATCTAACATGGTAGACCCCTAGCGTAATGCGTAGAATGATAATCTGTCCTCGTCTTGACGAGAATAAAGAGTGTATCGTATCGCCAAGGTATGTTTTTGACTCAGAACAGACCAACTTACAATTCCTATCCATACATAGGTATTGCATTTAACTTTACAGTATTTACTTTAGAAGGGGGTATTACTTTCTATACTATACTGCAACGTTTAGGCAGCCCGGTATCGCCGAACTATGTTTTTGACTCAGCATACACCAACATACTATTTCCGTCCATACAAAGGCAATTCATTTTACTTTACTGTATTTGCTTTAGAAGCAGTATTACTTTCTATATATTGCACTGCATGTTTAAGGGGATTAGTAAACACAAATACACCCATAGACATAGATGTGCATGTGTATATATACATACACATAGACATATATATATAGATATAGTAAGTAGCTAGGTGTCCAAAGTACATTCTCATAACACAATCATGAATTGATGGCTAACCAAGTGTACAAAATTGTCAATGATTTCCGTTTAAAGTACTCCACGTTTATAGGAAGATATAAGTATAACACGTCTTTATCAGGAAATGTCTTATCTAACATGGTAGACCCCTAGAGATTATTCTTGTTTGAGGTATATAATCTATATCTGCAAAATTGCAAAAGTTCTGCAGCTAACACATTCAGAGTAATGGATTGTGAAAAATGCCTACCCCACAAAAACTGCAAATTTCCTTCAAAAATCTTCAAACCAATATGGCCGCCGCATCACATGACTTTTGTCATATGACCAAGAGGTGAGGTGAGGTGAAATTGGGTTTAACGTTGTCCTTGAGAATATTTCGCTCATATGACGACGTGCATGTGTGTGTATGTGCGGCTGCTTGTACTAGCCCAGACTTAAGCTGGTTTTATAGTGCTAGCCCACTGAGATACCATGCCGCAGTGAAGCATGAATATCCCTCTCAGACACATTATACTGACTCCGAGCCGACCAGTCCTTGTTGTACCCATTAATGCCGAATGCCAGGCAGGGACCAACAAGTACCATATTTTAACGTCTTTTGGTATGACGCGGCCGGGTATCGAACCCGCGACCTTCCCCTCTCCGGGCGGACACTCTAGCCACTACACCACGAGGGCGGTCCATATGACCAAGAACAGAAATTGTTCAACAATCAAAGTCAACTTCTGAACAAGCGTTTTCAAGTTCGTATCTGCTAGGTTTGGTTTGCAAAAAAAAAAGAAGAAGCCTGTGGAAGTTTTTGAAGACAAATTTTGCCCAGAAGTAGTATCCAATATGGCGGTCATCATATCCACACGATATGCCGACGACCCTGGCTAGGGAGCTGCATAGACACAAACTATGCAAAGTTTGAAAGCGGTAGCTCTTGTAGTTTTGGCTAAGCAGATTTTGGGAGAAAAGTAGTTAGGATTTTGGTGAAAAACATCACCAAAAATGTCAATCCAATATAGCGGCCAAACAGTGCATTTGTAGTCACTTCAATTGCGCATCTGCACAATAAATTTGGTAGATATTTGCTGTTGAAATTGATTTTTTTAAAATTTATTTCGAATTATCTGCCCTTTACTATTGGGCCTAGAGCCTAGAGATTTTTAACGGGAATGTCTTCACCTCGGTGGGCATCTGGGTGATTTTTTTTACAGATTTTTCCCAAGAGTTCTTTTCGGGGGAGTGATACAAAATTCGGCGGAATAATGAATAATAATTATAATAATAACATCATGAATTACAACAGGTCTCCTGCCTTGTGGCAAGAAGCCCTAAATATAGGCAAACTACACCAATAGATAAACAATAATTTATATGTGACGAGGCAAGATCTGGGTTCATACAGATTATCAGCCATCAAAATTAAGGCCTTTTTAGTTGTTTTTTCAAGGTTTAATAAAACATTTTATGGCACTATAGAAACACATATAACACATAAGTAGTTGATTACTCACAACTTTTGTCAAATGTGGGCCCGACCATCAGAGGGAAATAACTCTTAGCTGTATTGCTGCACTGGGAAATGTGCCTTATGTAATTGGTTTGTTCTCAGTTAAAAGATGAATGTACTAATTCCATGAACTCGGAAAATTTCAGGCAACAATCAAATGGGAGCATTTTTGAAACAGCTAGTCAGCTGTAAGCCAAAAATACTTAACAGCAAATATACAAACCTGCATCTCCTTTCCCTCAAGGGTAATAAACAAAATTTTAATACATATTGATGACCAATAAAATATGACTTCAAAATCAAGGTGACTGACTCAAGATCATGTGAGCAGTTTTTTTCAGACACAAGAACTAAGATCATTCATGCAAAGTATTTATCTAAAGGGCAAGTTTACAAGAAAATTAACCTTTTTGTCTTTCACTTTTTCATCATAAAGAGTGTTTGTCAAGTAGTTTTATAGCCAAAACAGTACAGATATCAGAAGTAACTAATTTATTTATTGCTTTATATTGATTCAAATTTTCCACATTAACCGAGAGTTCTATGTCTGTAATAAACATACCATGGCTTATCTTATGTCCCTTGGAAATGACGTCATTGGTGCCCGAATGATAAACAAATGAACTTATCAGACTCATTTCATGTGGTGCAGGTTTAGGTGTGGTGCTTTCGTCTCGGTGTGCTGGCTACTGTTTTAATCCAGGGGCGCGTTGTTTAGCCGATACGCTGTGCAGCGCTGCGCTTCTATTGGCTGAACAACGCCGCTGCATGCATCGCAGCGCGAGCGCAAGGCAGCTTACTGAGAGAGGTGCTTCCTGCGTAAGCGAGAGACATTCAAAATGGCGTCACGGCATGTCATTCTGCAAGGTAACAGAGAAAACTTGTCTGCTCTTCTGTGACCAATAGGGACAAGTTTTTAATGTTGCGCATACAATTCAAAATCATTGCATGGAATATCTTCTACAGCTTCGTGTGCCAAAGGTGTGGCTAGTATCGGTGATGTGTTTATATTGGACGACGCCATATTGAATGAAGCGCTCACACAGCAGTCCGTTGCACGGGAAAGCAGGCAGCGTAGCGCAGCGATGCTTGCAAACTTTTGCTGAACAACGCGCCCCAGGTGTTGCCAGGCCGGCAGCTGGCTACATGGTCAGTACCATACTGTTATGACGTTGCTGTTTGAAAAATCATACACATTGTACAAACATTGTTACCACGTAACCAAATTGTATAACATTCAACCAGGGTGGGTCGCCTTTCCAACAGTATCTTCTTTCACCAAACCTAAAACGTATATATGCACTAGATCTATGGGTGAATGTGCCGGCATTCTACCTTTGTACTTAATTCCTACATAAATCATACAGTATAAAAATTATGTGCCTCCTCTTCAACCTTCACTTTGATCAATTCCAAATACATCACAAAGATAAATGCAATTCACAGTTTTGAATTCTGTCAAAATTCAGTTTTCTATGATATCCGCTCATTGTTGGGCATATCTTCTGAAAATTACATGCATTGAAAATCTTGGCAGTTTTGACACACTACTAAATTACAATTCATTGCGTTTTGCGTAATTTATAGTATGCCTTACTTCAAATGCAAATTTTACTGGGAGAATTACTTGTTTGTTTTTTCATAAAATCCTGTATCATTGTGATCACTGGTATCTGTTGTTGATTGATGGAATCACCAATGCTTGTTCTGAGACATCGTCAATGAACCAAGAATCGCTGAGAATAGTTTGGACAATACGCATATACCAATGTCGAAGTGAAATTTCCTACAGAGTGTTTATAAAATTACGTCACATGTATGTCGGTTATGTTTTGCCCAATACATCACAACTATAATTCAGGACCATCTTCCTTACCTGAATCCTTGAATTCCTCATACAGTTCAAAATATAATGACAAATGGCCTTTGTCACCAATACCAAGAGACTCTGTGAAATCGAGCTAAATATATCAGATGCCGCGCTGAGAAAGGACCACTTGTTTGAAACGTAAACAAAGCCAGTCTCAGATTTCACACTTTGTATCGTTTTCTCATACTGTGAGAGATCCATTCGCCTACTCGTTGCATACACGTTGCTTGAAACAAGGAAAGTTTCGTTTCAAATATCCTGCGTACTCATGTTGGTGAACATGTCATTTTCAGAAAGTCGCTTTCCGTTAGTGATGTCATCTGTACATCAACATTGTTATACATATTTGATATTTTCATTAGGGTGAGGTTATGACTGAACATACACACGATCATTTCTATCTTGATGCTTTCATTTTCAGATGTAATGTTTCTTTCATATTTTTACATACTTTTTTTCACGTGATTAATTTCAGTATTTACATCTTTTGTTTTGGGACTAGACAGGAGACCAGTCTAAATCAACTGGCACCAATTCCGTCATAATCAAAGGGTGGTAACTCTGGTCTGTTTAGCTCAGCAAACAGAGGCCTCATAAGGGCATAACATTCCATCACTTACAGAGCGGGTTATACTTTCATTGTAAGAAAAATGAGTGTATATTTTCAAACATTGATAGATATTAAGTTATTAAAAAATTCCGTTTTGGTTCACATAAAAAAAAAGTGATTTTTTCGTGTACATTTCCCCTTTAACAGGCCATGATTCAGGGACAAGTCAAAACTGACAAATTAATGACAAATGGATGGACAGACAATGGACAACATGCCACCACATAAGTTCAAATGACTTTCAGTCAGGTGAGCTAAAACTTAAAACAATCCTGTTTCACAGGCCTGCAAATTACCTGCCACTTCACAAATACTATTAATAAAATAAACATTCTCTACAAATTTCTGTTTTCTAAAACAAATGTTTGACTATAAAATTTCAACAAAATCTTACATCTTGTAACTCTCAGCAATTCCTTAGCAGAAAATACACCTGTTGCCATAATGCTGTCATTTCCAGACACCCCTGAATGAATGTTACCTGGAACTGTAAAAGAGAAAAGAAACACAATTTATTGAGAGTATAAGTTCAGTGAAACATGAAACATTAAACATGAAATTGTTCAGCAAGCTGGAAACATATGCCCCTCAGGATCCACACATTGTATTGCTGCTATAGGAGTGAGGAGGTGTATTCCTCACAGGTCCTACTGAACCTCACGCAAAGTTGGCAAATGTGCCAGTTTGATACTGCTGTAGATAATGTATTGCACAGCATCAACAATGATAATAAGTCTTAGAATACTACCTTAAACACTTGATTGCCTTTTTCCTGAAGCTTTCTTAGTCCACAGGTTTAACAAAACAAAATTACAATCCAAACTGGGGCATCTTTGACAAATCCACTTGTGATACCTGGTTGACACTAGCACACATGGGGAAAAAGTGAGGTCCAATTCCTTGCACATGCATGATTATGGTAGTGATGTGATAGAGGTAGCTGATTCCTTAGAATTATAGGTTTCTAGCATGCCCAGGAGATGCAAGGGCTTGAGAAGCACACAAGCATATACCTGAGGGACAGTCACTGCAAACTTACTGCACTCTTTCTGTTGGCCTTTTTTTGTTTTATTTGTCATGTGGGCGGATAACACACAAAAATACAGATCCTGGTTAAATTTTACTGAGCCCCATGTTTGCGAAAAAGATCTAAGACTTCTTGTATATGTTTTCACTTTTAGATTTCAGAAGAGCTGACATGCAAAAAAAGAGCAATAGTTTTGTCCAAAAAATTCCATTGAAAATGCATGTCATATCCCCCTTAATAACAGCCCTGTTCCAAAAGTTGACATGTCAATATTCTTCAAAGGAAATGCTCATTCTCTGAATAGCGGTAGCACACAATTCCTGCCAAGCCTAACATGCCTGTAAGAACACAGATGATTTTGTATACATTAATAAGATGTTGGTACTTTAGATACATGTGTTGTGTTATTTGCCATTGGTATATTGAACTTTGAGGAGCTGTTGTTAGATGTTATCCAGAGTAGTATAGGGAATGGCGGTACGATGACGCATAGGTACACCATACCTAGGAGCCTCCAAATAACCAATCCAGCTCCCACAGCCACTAAAAAAGTTAGAGTTTTGCACAAAACTAGTCCGGAAGACAAAAAGTGTCCCTACACATTTCATTGGTGGAAGTGCACTCCAATTAGAGATATGTGGAGTGTATGGATATAGAACAATGCCAGGAACCAATCTATCGCGCGAAGCCTATGCCGAGATCCGATTTGTCCCTTTGGGAAGCGAAGAGGAAGTACCACATATCGCAAGCCGGATATACATGAATCCGAGGTAGTATAGACCCCGAGGCACAAACAAAGACAACTTCCTACATTGCACAAGTCTTCGAGACTGCCCCCATATCTTGCTTTCCGACAAAGAAAAATAAGTAAGTGATTCAAACCACACAGTTCCTACTCCTAGATATCTTGGGATGCAATGTCACAATTACTGCGGGATTCTGTGTTTATTCTGAATGAAAACTGTTTATTTCTTACTTTATGGCAGCGGTAAAGATCTCTCACGGAAAACTATGTCTCTGTGTATGTTTACACTATATGACCATCACATGACTACAACTCCTATGTTGACACCAGAAGTAAGTGCTTTTTCACTCATAAACGGCCGGTGCAAACCGTTGACTTCTCTCATGAGGGACTGACAGTGAGTCCTTATCAAGAAAACACTTATTATTGATAATGCAACTTAGCTAACATACTCGCTATTAATAATGTTCACAATGCATTTTATTCTGCAGCTGTTCAGCCGTCAGGCACATTTCATATTGACCTACTATTCGGAGTAGGATGATGTTAATCTTTGCTTAATTATTGATTTCACACTCAATTGTATGACTTAGAGCACACATATTTACTTACTTTTCTGTGTGGAAGGTTTGGTGAGCCAAATAGCTCAGGATCATCCTTAGCGTCTCCAGTTTCTGTTTTGTTTTGTTTATTTGTATGATATAGGCCATGAATTTTGAACTTTTTATGCAGAGGTTATTAAGTCAAACTTCCTATACAGTACTTATATTTAGTGACATAGAACAAACATATTCCTTTTGCTGCTCAGCCATCAGTGACACTGCTTTTCTCCTGTTTGGAGATTGATTGTTGATTATCTTTGCTGGTTTGACTGAATTCACATTTGTTCGAATGACAGAAGTCGTGGTCATCTTTTCACTTTTTCATGAAGATGGTTTAGTTAGTCAAACGGCCCACAACCATACTTGCAGTCAGAAAAGGACTGATGAATTGCAAATTTTATCAGTGTACAAAATTGCCACATAAATATAAATAGTACACATGTTTATCATTTACTAATACCCAACAGCTTTCTTATATTTGAAAATTTTCCGGACTCCACCAAAAAAGTTGTTTAAGAAACTATCATCATTGAAAACGCAAAAGTTGTTATCTGTCGCGGCGGGGTGAAACCGCAGAAACGGAACAGCCACTATCTCGTCGTACACGGGATACACATGCCTGATGAAAAATGAAGTTGAATGCTGACGTGAAACAGTTGATGATTAAAGCGTACGATTTTTTCTGTGCTGAAGCCGAAAGGGGCAAACCATTTTATGCCATTAATAAATTCTGTAAGCGGGCAGCAAAAGCTTTAGGAGTATCAGCAAGGGTACTGACAAATGTTCTGGAACACAAACATTGTGAGGGTGATGTGAAGCAGGTAGGGGTTGTGTCAAAATCACACAAATCACAGTCTATCAACAAGCTCTATTCTGAAAACAAAGACATGTCGCTGAAAATTTTAAAAAAGCATTTGAAGCAAGAACACAACCTCAGAGTATCAAATTACACACTCTGGCGACTCTTACACTCTTTCCGGTATTGTTATAAGAAAATTTCGGGGGAGAATAGGTCAGTACTCTGTGAACGCCCTGATATCGTTCGCTTGAGAAATAATTTTCTCAGGGTTATAAAGAAGAAGCGCGAGGAAGGGTTTGAGCCAGTGTACTTGGATGAGACCTGGGTCAATGCCTCGCACACTGCCAGCAGTCAGTGGGTACCCGATGGGGGTGATAAGGGGTCACGTAAAAAGCTGACTCTAGGGAAAGGAGAGAGACCAATCATTCTCCATGCTGGTTGCTCCAGCAAAGGCTTTCTCCCAGGCTTGGACTTGGTATTCAGGGCAAAGTCCACAGATAACAGAGACTACCATTCCGAGAAGAATGGTGCGGTTTTCCTCGATTCGGTTAAAAACAAGTTGGTACCAGCTCTACCAGAGAAGTCTTTTATCGTAATGGACAATGCCCCATACCACAGCGTGCAGGACCCCGACAGTAAAGCCCCAACATCGAACAGTCGAAAAGGTGATATATCATGGCTTGACAAATTTCAGATCGCAAGGCCTTCAAAGGCGACGAAGCCTCAGCTATATGAGATCATAAAAAACCACAAAGGTGAACCTTTCTACAAAGTTGACAGTTACATAAAAAGTAAGGGTCACGATATTCCGCGACTTCCACCCTATCACTGTGACCTTAACCCCATTGAAATGATATGGGGTATTGTCAAAAGAGATGTTGCCAGATCAAACACAACTTTTAGATTACGTGACGTAGAGGTTTTGGTTAAGGAATCCCTTAACAAAATCACGACTGAAACTTGGCAAAACTGTGTCAACAAGGTAGCTAACGTCATTGAACAAGGTTACTGGTCTCGGGATGCCTTACAACAGGCAACTGTGGCACCACTTGTCATCCCTTTAAGTCATGACTATGACACTACAACAGACGAGGAACCGACAGGTCTCCCGGAATAGATTTTGAGATGTCCCCCGCCATGACTGGATGTGCCGTTTTTGCGGTTTCACCCCGCCACGACAGATAACAACTTTTTTTTTCCAATGATGATAGTTTCTTAAACAACTTTTTTGGTGGAGTCCGGAAAATTTTCAAATATAAGAAAGCTGTTGGGTATTAGTAAATGATAAACATGTGTACTATTTATATTCATGTGGCAATTTTGTACAATGATAAATTTGCAATTCATTGGTCCGTTTCTGACTCAAACGGACTGAAGCGGTCTAGAACAAACATTTTTCGTTTGCTACTCAGTCACCAGCAACATTTCACATTAACCTGGTGAAATGTCTGGCCTCAAAATGAATATTGAAAAAACAAAATCTGTCTGGATAGGCTCTATGGCCGGTAAAAATATCAAATGCTGCGAAGAATTAGATTTTGATTGGCACACAGGCAACTTTGAAGTTCTTGGCATTACCCTTGATGCTAATTTACAAGACCTCTGTGTCATAAATACAAGAAAGAGAATTGAAACCATAAAAAGAATCCTCGCATCATGGAAACATAGACCACTGACTTTGATTGGCAAAATTACAGTTATTAAATCCTTAGCCCTATCTACCTTGGTACATATATTTTTAGCCCTGACTACTGCCCCTGAAGCTTTTGTTAAAGAATTAAATCAAATATTTTTTTACGTTTTATGGAATGGGAAAAGGGACAAAATAAAAAGGATCAATATGATCAGGAAATATGATGAAGGTGGTCTTAGAATGAATGATGTTGACACATTTATTCAAGCCATGAATCTTTCTCACTTAAGAAAATGCTACCAGAATCCCAACTTCAAGAACCCAAGCAAATTTCCCTTATCTGAAATCTCTTCTTTGGAAGCGAATATCAATATTCGAAATAATTGTATAAATCCTTATTGGAGAAGTGTTTTGGACACATGGTCAAACTATCTAAGAATTGAGAAAGAATACCCTGACAATATCAACTATATCTTATCTCAACCTCTTTGGCTGAATCATCAGTTCAAAGATAAAAACCTCTTCATACAAAATTGGTATCAAAAAGGGCTGCATTTTGTTACATATGTCTGTAACACAAGAGGATTAATGACCTGCAGTGAATTGAAAAACGTATATGATATCTTGGGAACATTCTTAGATTATAACAGACTGCTATGTGGAAACAGTGCATCAACCAGC